ATGTGTTATTATCAATGCTTTATTCAATAAGAATAAGCGGCAACGTTGCCAAGGGTGCAAATGTCAATTTTTATTCCACGAACTTTTACGTCAAATTTTGAACTACCACTTCAGATGCATTTGCCTCGATTTTTCCAGCATATTTGTACGACTTTAGCGCTCCAAGCGACCATTGTCGCCAACTAAGAATGCTAGGTACTGTATCTGGGAACCTATCCATCGTAGAGGCTTGCGACAAAAGCATTTATTACTAAAACGATCAAGAGAAAATATTTCCAAGTTTTTGCAATGGCCGTTAGGGGGTGTAACTGCAATCTTGAATCTAAAAAAGTAATGTTTCTGTATATTTCGCTATATTAACCTAACAAACAATACCTCATCTTTAAATTCGAGGATAATCTGAACTTTTTTTGTTTGACAATTTTTGCTGTCTCTAAAAATAAAGTGGTGGGGGGGTATTCAAAGGTTTCCGTAAAACACACCCTGTATCTACGAAACGACTGAGCCGATTTTAACAAACTTGGGCTAGTTGAAAGGGGCTATTATTGGGCTACGAATGTTATAATATTTGAAGTTTTAGTTTCACATGTGGCCGCTAAAGGGCTTTTTTCGACATTGACAATCAACTCACAAAATTAATTGCATTGGTATGATTGTTTGCATGAAAAAGTAACGAAATAATGTCTAAACAAGCACGCGAAAACCTTGTCCCTAACATAAATTTTAGGCCAAAGAAAATTTTATACGGAAATCTCTTATATTTTTATTCTTGTAAACAAATTTTTCTAGAGTTCTTTTTTATTCATCAGAATAAAATCACCTTTTTTGAAAATAGAATAGAATAGAAATTTATTGGTTTCTCAGTTATAAATAAAAAACAAAGACATTTTTAACAGAGATAACACGTTATTGGGATACAGTGTAAATATTTTTTTTAAGTACATACAAAAACAAACATACATAGACAACCTATAACACAGCGATATTGATGCTTACTGTTTCACTAGAGCACAGAACTCTTCAATATTATATGGTTCCATTTCGCATATACAGGGTGTCCGCAAAGTTGGGGTTTTCCTTTTCAGAAACAACTACCCTTGAAATAACAAAGGTAATGTGTAGTGAAACGCGGGCGACCAAGTAAAAAAAATAAAGGAAAAAGTACTCACTCACCAGTTGACGAGAAGGGCTAAGTACGTCTCTGCCTGAAATCGAAAGTTATTCACCCCATTACGCGTGAACGCAGATTCGTCTGGCACCAATATGCACTTCAAAAAGTCCGGATTATTGTCATGTTGATGCAACAACCACTCACAAAACTGCACTCTTGCTGGAAAATCGTCAGGTTGAAGGGCTTGTACACGTTGGACGTTTGCCATACTTTAGTTTTTGATACTTGCACTTCTCTAGCCACGTCTCTAGTGCTTGTTGAGGGATTCTCGTCTACGCGTTTCAGTACTTAGTTCTTCCTCAACTTGCACCATTCGTGGTTGTCTAGGCCTCCCACTGTGCCCACCTCGAAATTCCTCCAAATGGCCCGTATCCCTGACTCTCTGGACCAGGTACACAAATCTGCGGGGCCTTGGATGATGTCGTTTAGGGAAACGATCTGCATACACTAGCGACGATTCTGTAGCATTTTGAAGACATTCGCCATAAATTAACAACATATCAACGAGTTCATTATTGGTGTATGAGTGTGCCATTATTATTATTTTTTTTTTTTGAAACGCAATCGATTATACGGGTTCGTTACCTCTATACGCGTGACCCTTTACCGTCGGTTGAAGGTTGCATACTGATCTGACACACTGACCCCGACCCCCGACCCAGTTCTGTCGTCGGGTTCAGCTAGTAGCCGGTACCAGTTGGGGATGTCGCGAGTCGCGGCTACAGGACGGTATTCAGATATGTTTGATGTTGCAGAGCCCTTTATCTCGGTTCCCTTAGGACATTGGTGTATATGCTACTAAGAAAAATTGCTTATGTTTTCAAGATCTACACGTCGTGTAAAGGAAAACCCCAACTTTGCGGACACCCGGTATATTTATGAATGCTTTTTTTTGAATATAGTGAATGGTGAAATGGATTGAATATGTTGAGGTAAAGCATTGTAAAGTTTCAGTGCAGAGTAATGTGGACATTTTTCAGTAGAATTTAGCTTATGTGATGGGTAGATGTATATCTGATTTTTGCGAGTATTGTAACTGTGGTTGAAGACGTTTTTTTCAACCTTTTTTTATGGTTAAAGATAAATAGTAGAGTGTTATAGATATAAATTCCCGGTAATGTTAATAAGCGGTTGACTTTAAATATACTTCTACATGACTCTCTAGGTTTCATTTTGAACATTGTTCTTATTATCCTCTGTTGTATGATAAAAATTGTACTGGCTGCAGGACTATTACCCCAAACTGTTATTTGATAAGACGTAATAGAATACGTAAGCCCATAGTAGGCAGCGTGCACAGCTTGCGAGGGCAGGTGACAAGTGAGTACACATAGTGCATAGTACGCTTGATTGAGTTTTGAAGCCATACTCTCAATGGGCTTATCAAACTTAAGACAGCTATCGTATGTGACACCCAGGAGGTTTGAATCGCTTTTGATACATATAGGTTCATTAATTAAGGGTACTTCTTTGGTGGCATAGCTTGACTGAAACAGGACACAACACGTTTTTTGTATGTTGAATGCTAACTTATTCACCAGCAGCCAGTCTTATAATATGGTTTATTTGGGTCTCTATCAAGGTTCGGATATCAGACGTTACTTTATATGGTATCAGAATAGTTATATAATCTGCATAGATGAAACTTAGATGTTGCGTGTTTTCCGTGGTGATGGATATATTCTTAATATAAATAATAAACAATGCTGGGCCCAGTGTACTGCCTTGAGGAACACCAGTACTATATGTCCGAGGACTAGATGTTATTCGTTTCCCAGTTTTGTTCAAAATTACTTTCTGTTTTCTATTAGAGATAAGATTTAAGCCAGTAGTACGCATTCCCGATATTCATGGATTGCTGTTGTGAAATCGAACAGTGCTGTGTTCACACCTCTACCTTTCATGAAGCCATGTTGGTTATTTGTGAAGTATTTATTTGCTTGGAAAAAAATTATAAGACGGTTGTTATAAGCAATTTCAAAAATTTTCGAAAAATTTATCAGCAAGCTAATAACACGGTAGTTGTCCATATCATCAGGATCGCCTTTTTTATAGATTGGTAATACAAGTGCCATTTTTAATGCTTCTGGATATTCCCCTTCACTAAGAGATATATTTAGGACGTTAAGTAGAGGGTCAGATATTATGGTTATCATTTTTGTAATGATGGAAATTGGAACGATGTCATCAGCTCAACTTCTTGTGTTTTTTAGGTTGCATACAATTCTGAGCAATTCATCTTGATCTGTTGGAGTTAAAAATATTGTTTTATTTTTTAGTTCTATTATACGGAAATTCCTTAAATTTTTAAACAAATTTCACTGGAACTCTTTTTTATTCACCAGAATAAAATCACCCTTTTTAAAAATATTACAAGATATCGCTAAAAGGTAAGTAATGCTAATAAATGGCCAATTGTTTGTTTAAATGCATATTCACTATGGGTATATACGACAAAGACAATTAATAGAATCAGGCTATTTAATACAACAAAAGAAATACCTAATCAAAACATGAATAACCCTCAAATAGTCAAAATAGTTGTCAATAGTTTTGTGTTACTTTGAACAATTTTTGTGTCTACCAAACGGGTTTTACGAACGATAAAGCTGTTGATATAATTGCAGTTTATTTTGAATGTCTTCAAAATGCAAAAAGAGTTTACGCGACTCGATATCCAAATCGACGTCTTTGCGATGTGAGTTTTTCCCCGATTAGTGGCGAGCTTACGAGCCAGTGGTAGTTTTCGGCCTACGTTTCAACAACAAAGAATTGGAAGAACACAAGAAAATATTAACCGCGTACGGGGATGTATTGAAGGAAATCCTCATGTTACCACAAGGGCAATTTTCCTTGAGTTGGGCATATCACGAACAACGGTTCAAAATATTTTGATAGACCATAGTTAAGTTCTAATGGCCATCAAAATATAGAGATTTATTTTAATTAAACTTTTTTAAATTAGGAAGACTTTGATCAGAGGTTAGACTATTGCCATTAGATGTTAGGCATGATACGCGAAAATAGATCATTTTTATTTGAAATTCTTTGGACCGATGAAGCCACCTTTATTTTTAGAGATACAGCAAAAATAGTCAAACAAAAAAAGTTCAGATTATCCTCGAATTTAAAGATATGGTATTTCTGTTGAGGGAAATTTAACGGAACTCTCAGAAACATCACTTTTGAAGATTCAAGATTGCAGTTACGCCCCCTAGCGGCCATTTCAGAAACTTGAAAATATTTTCCAGGTTTTTCTCTTGGCCGTCTCAGTAGTAACTGTTTTTACCTCAAGCCTCTACGCTGGATAAATTACCAGATACTCACATTTCTTGTTTGGCCACCCTGTACAGGCTAAGCTCAGGTCTTTTTACGGTTTTTGGTCGGTCACACCGAAACTACAAGAATTACTTTCATACATCCATCTCCCTCACACATATTAAGCGATCTGCCACTTCGCGCGGACATGTGTTTGTGTAAACTCAAAGATGTACGTTTTTTTAGGTTTCTCTCACCACCATTATCGCTGTCAGTATAACAACTTACTTGTCATGGCGTGTGATTTGTGTTTACCCAAGTTGGTCTTCAGTATAAAACCTAGTGCCTGTATTAGAAGTATTTTCAACGGTCTTTTATCACCCAATTCATTTGTAGGTCCAAGAGCGAGTAGCAGCTGCGTCGCGGATTGACTTGCACACTGTGCAATTTCACTCATGGTACAATTATTCAATCTGTTTACATAATTCGTATGGCATTGGTGACATAACCGCCAAATACCGTGAAAAGAACTATAGTTTATCATATTATTATTATTAGCAGTGATTTCCAGGCAAAACAGACCACTTCCACATACGCCATCTTCTTGCCAGGATATTACAATCCCAAATCATTTTGAAGAAGATGTTCTAAAGGTGTCTGATGCTCTGGGTAATGCTAAGGCCGAATGGACGTTGCGACATTTACTCGATGGAGCTAGCTTGTTAGCCAAATGTTGCCAGGTGAGAAATATATTTCCTGACTAAAATATCAGATCATAAAAATTGTTGCGAGGAAGTGCTTGCTGCCACCTAGTGTGCAATTGCTAATGTATCCGACCCTTACGTCAAAGATGCGGTAAGGCATCTACGCTTTCTGGCCCATATATACAGGGTGATTCACAAATCGTGACCAAAAATGAAACGTCATACACATGACCTCATTTTAAGGAGGGTCTTCTATGTAACATTTTCCCCCAAGGGCTTCATTAAAAAGATACGGGGTGTTGAAATTTAAATATAAAATGCAATTTTTTTAATATCCTCGAAACCGTCAACTGGAATGAACTAGAATTTGATATATGGATTTACCTAAGTATTATGCACATTCAAAAGCCGTAAAATTAAGGTGCCCCAGTGGCGGAGAAACAGGGGACTAGTGGTTTTATTTTTCCAAATAAAAATAGTACTACACTGTTTTTTTTTCTTTGATAAGCGCAGTTTTTCGAATTTTGCTTCAATTTGCTACAAATAATTACTCTTGTGCTTTTTTCCTAGAGTGCATTGCTTTCGTAAAAATAAAAAAAAACAAATCAGATAATCAAAGCCTTATTTCAATAAATGTTCAGAAAGACCACCATTCTGACGGATACAACTCCGGCATCTTTATAATAAAGAAAAACGTATTTCCGCAGATTTGTTGCGGCTTGAATTTGATGAAACGCATAATCTATTCCTTGTTGTAACTGACAACAGTATTAATTTGTTCAGCATACAGTAATTGTTTAAAAGCGCCCCACAAAAAGAAATCCAGAGGGTTCAAATCAGGAGGCCTCGCAAGCCAATGCACGGGTCCGTTTCTGCTAATCCACGACGAACATGCGGTGGGGTACAGTCGTGGTGATACCACATTCGTACTCTTGATGCTAACGGAACATCATCTAACACATTTTCTATGTAATTCTCTAGAAAAGCTAAGTATGAGTTTGCATTTAAACGTTGTGGCAATACGTGCATAAACAGTTGGCCATTGAAAATGCCGCACCAGACATTTCTAGAAAATCTTTGTTGAAACGAGTGGATTCTTACAGAACGGGGATTTTCTAACGACCAAATATGTTCATTATCAGAATTAATGGATCCACTCCTCGTAAAAAGCGATTCATCTGACCACAAAACCAAATCAATAAATACTGCATTTTGATTATGCATTTGCCATAACCACTCGCAAAAATTTCACCTTTGCACTTCTGGTTTGTTCGTACAGTAGTCGGTAACTTGTCGGTGACTGTCAAAATCAGAATCAGAGAGATGTTACCTGTTCATACAGTTTCTGACTGTTTGCCGACAGCTAATCCGCTGTTCGTACAGAAACTTTTGACAGATCAGAGGACACCAGTCAAGAATCGTAATTAATAAGATTTTTGTGATTACTAATCTTTTGAAAATTTACAGTTGCAAAATGCGAAATTACACGATTTAAGTCTTGCGTCTATGTACGTTCGTAGTCTTAGTTATTTTTGTCCATGTTGGGAACTCTGTGAAACTTATAGCTTTGTAAGCAGATCTTGATAATTGTAGTTATGTTCAGCTGTTTTAGCTTTTTAGTGTATAACACCCTTTATTATTCAAAGACGTTATTAGGTCCTTGTAGTATTTTCACTTCTTTCTTCTAGTGAGAGTCTGCATATATACGGTGTTTCTAATTTGGCGCTCACCATTGGGGTCTTGGAAACTGTGAGGGATACGAAGTCGCTTAACTGGGGTAGTCAACAAAATGACACTTAGAAAGTTTCGAAATTCAAAGTACTTCCGGAGAGTAACGGAAAAACAGAATTTTCTCAAAATCGATTTGATTTTTTCCTGGCTTTATTTTTATTGAGATTTTAAAATAAATTGCACATTAACAGTGCCACGTTTTCTCCTCTCAAGAAGGCATACTCAGAATTTCTATATGACGGTTCGTCTCGTGTCTTCCAGCATCAACTTTATTATTTCTTAAGGACGCTATATTGCATTTTTGCACAGATGAATAGAGTTTTTAATTTTGATTCAAAAAATCCATAATACGTCATACATTGACGTTTCCATACCTTGGTTACTTCGAAAAAAAAAACAGAAATTCTTGGGTAGGCTTAGAAATTATCAGATGTCTGTTTCGCTCACCAGATTTATCCCAAAATTGCTCTATTATTTCCTGACTTTATTTAAGATGGGATTTCAAAATAAATTGCATATTGTTATTGTTACGTATTCTCGTCTACAAGGTGGCGTAGTCAAATTTCAATTCGACATTTCTTCTTTCGACTTCCATCATCAAATTTGTTTTTCATATGGACACTATATTGGAATTTTGTACATTTAAATGGACTTTTCAGCTCTACATTCAGTGATGTATTTTGTTAGTTGACCATATATTTGTTGTTGGATGACAATTAAAAGGAAATAAGAAGATATGGTGAAGCCTGAATACGAAATTAAAATTTTATTGATGGTAATAACAATAATAACAAAAATAAGCAGAGGTCTTCACAGTCTTCCAAACTCTGTTGCTATGGAAACAAATGAAATCTGATAATTTCGAGGTCTACCTAAGAACTTCTGGAATAAATAAATTTCAGAATAAAAAATCCATTCATGTGTGTAAGAATCCAATATGGCATCTATAAGAAAAAATCAATTTGATGCTGGAAGACAAGAGACGAAACGTCATATTGAAATTCTAACTGTGCCGTCTTGTAGAGGAGAAAATGTGGCACAGCTAATGTGCAATTTATTTTGCAATTCGACCACAAATAAATTCAGGAGAAAATTAAGACCATTTTGTGAAATTTCGTTTTTTACGTCTCTTTCCGAAAGTACTTTCAATTTCAAAGGTTTGTAAGCGACATTTGCTGATTATCTGAATACGCAACTTTGCCCCTATTCAAGCGACTTCGTATCCCTTGAAGTTTCCGAGATCCCAATGGTGAGGGTCGGATTTAAAATACTATGTATAGGGAAAATATTATTTTCACCCCAGCAGAAACAGTCGGCCACACCCTCTCCGTGGGCACCCGTGAAAAAAAACTGTATCACAAAATCTCGAGAATTCGTTATTTTGTTTGTTTTTTCATCAGCTTTGGGTTGAACTTATATAAATACTGTTTGTGCATACACTTCGAGGCTGGGCGGCAAGGGAACAGGGTACAAAAACCCTACTATCCGAGTTTTATTAAAAGTCATTCACAATATTTTGTACATTTCTCATGCATAGTCACTGCAGATGTTTATTCAGAATTCTTACTATGTATTTACGAGCCCCTTCCCACTTCAGTTGGCCCACTTCAAGAGTTGTACTAAAATATGCTTTTATAAACTAAACATGACGAGACTATTTACTTCTAAAACAATTTATTTTCTCAAAAACATTTTAGATACACTCTAGTCGTAAAAAATACATATTTGAAATCACTTAGACCTATAACTAATAGAACATCTGAACAAATAAACAATGTACCAATAAATACGCGAAGTTAAACAAGCAACAATTGAAAGATTGCCATTGGGTAACATCACCTTTATTTTTTATTACGGCTGAAATTCTTTAGGGCATAGTGTCAACCAAGTTTTGGCAAAAATTTAGTGTAAAACCATATTTCTTGAAGCTTTTGTCTCAGTTCGGTGATTGTACGAGCAGGATGTTGACGTAGAACCTTTTTCATCTCGTGCCACAAAGTTTCAATAGGTGACAGATCTGGACTGCTAGAAACCCATTTCAAAAGTGGTACATTATTTTCTTCCATCCATGTTATAGCCTTTTTTGAGGTATGGCACGCTGCACCATCTTGCTGAAACACAAGATCTTGACCGGATGTCAAACATTCTTCCATCACTGGTAAAAGCGATTCTTCTAAATTTGCCAAATATTTGTTTGTATCCACATTTCCGTCAATAAAATGAAGTTTCCCTACTCCTTTTGATGACATACTGCCCAGACCATAATGGATGCTGGAAATTTCACTTTTCTCTTCAGACAGTCAACATGCGAATAACTCTACTGCGACTGTCACCAACACAAACTTCGAACCGGGCCTCATCACTCCATTGTTGATGTGTCCATTGTCTATGTTCTTTAGCCCATCTAAGCCGATTTTTATTTTGCAGTGGAGTTAATAGTGGCTTTTCTTTGGCCTATAAACAAGTTGTGCAACTTTAGGGTTTTTACTTCACTTTTTTTATAAGAAAACTTACCTTGCAAGTGCTAAATCCCAGTTTGTGGGCCTCTATGAGTTGTGGACCTCGAAATTCTCCTTCCAACAGCGTCATTCCACAGACCACTTAATTGTAAATAATTGGCACGCCTGTTTTTCACGATTATTCTTCTTAATGCTCTTCGGTCGGCATTTGTGATATTACTTTTTTCACATATCGTAGCTTAATATTAACTGAACCAGTTACGTTATATCTTCTAACAATATTTCTCACACTGTACCGCGATAAGTCTAACAAAGTGTCAATTTCTGAGTTTGATTTCCCAGAATAAAAAAATTTAATTATCAGTAACCGAATTTTCTCACTAATAACCTTTCCTCTACCCATTTTGAAAACCTTAACTACCCAAAACTATTTTAAACGTATTCTGACAGCTGTGATTAATAAAAACAATTGTCATGGCTTTTATTTTTCACAGCCACCTATGCGTTATAGACTTATTTTGCATTGAAATGAAAATAGGTTGATATGCTGTAATTGCAACATGTGTTATTTTTATGCTGCAAATTTGATTAGGGAGTGATAAAGTTGGTGTTTTCTACTATATATATTATCAAAATATTCATTATTAATATTTTAAATCTATAACACCCTGCTACATTTTTATTATTTGTGTTTGATAAGAAGAAAACTAAGATTTCAATAGTTGGGCCAACTGAAATGGGAAGGGGCTCGTACTTCTTCAAATTTCCATTCTATGTGTGGAATCATATTTCTTCGATTTATGTTTATACTTTTTATATGAGAATTGAATGGGAATTACTGGGTAA